GGGCGGGGATAAATTGGAGACTTCATCAAGGAGTTCAGGAAGAAAAAGTATGTTTGGAAACTGATTGTGGAAGCAACTTTAAAAATCTGATTAACGTGATTGAACTATGGGAAGATATGACAAATGTTTTAATTCCTAAATGATAATAAATTGAAAATTTAAGAATATTTAAAACATAGATCTAGGAATAGGTTTTGGGCTCACACTAAATCCTAGCTCCCACTTAAGAAAAATTAGTTCTTACATCACGGTGAAGGAAGTAGATGGTGCCCAGATAAAATAGCATCTGGGGTTGTAAAGGTCTATCATTTTTAAGGATTTTTATAGTCACCAAAAGGAGTTCCTTTGGCACAAACAATTAAACACTGGACTCCTACCAAAAAGTGGCAGCTCGAGCCCCCTCAGGGGCATTTCAGTAGGAAGGTCTATCAATCTGTTTCCAAGAGCTCACAGGCTTTAAAACCCTCTGGATCAGTTTTACTCTGCACTTAAGGGGTCTGCATGAGTGGGAACTGATCAACTGGATACAGATAGTAAAATATAGTTGCAATTATAAACTGATTATATTGTGGTCTACATCCTCTCTATTTTCTCTATTATGATTTTAGCAAGAAATAACAGACCATTTACAAATTAAATACAAAGTAAAAGCTACATAATGGCAAATGATGACTAAAACAAATATGCTGGGTTTCGTGGGATGGGAACAGGAAGGTTGGAAACTTTTTTACTTTCATAAAAAGAACAGCTTTTCTTAAAAGATCAAAATGTATTCCTTTCAGGGTTCATTTAAAAAATGTATGAAGGTTCGCGCACAACTTAACAGCAATCTGCTGTGTGGAATTCTTCCATTCGTCCAGTGTGGAAGTGTGCGGACATCCGTAGTAGTCAAGACTCATCTCTTGTTTCGTGAAAAACCAACATTCTCCCGACAGAGGCAGATTGGAAATTTGAACCCTTTCCAACACACCCAGCAGACAAGACAAAGAAACCGAAAGGCCATCCATTGTCAGATGTCACCAAAGTCACTGCCTGTTTGTGGGCACCCTTTGTTGTGCCACAGTTGATGGATTATCTTTATATTCTTGAGGCTTACCTTATTTTCATTGAAACATACTGGAAAGTGTGACCTTTTGCCAGGTGAATGAAGTGTGCTATTTGGTGAACAAGCCTTCCTCAGTAGTCAGGAGTTGTTAACACAGAGTGCTGAAAAATAGCCCTGCCGTGACTTGGCAGAATGGGGTAAGTTATGTGTGGTGCTTAGTCAGGATGCACAGGAGAAACTACCAGAGCATGGGTTTATGATACAGAATTCAGCTGGATGTTTGAAGATCTTATGTTTCTCTTCAACAGGTTAATTATGTATGGCTTTGTCAAGGCTATGGTAAATGCTGGCCAGTTGAAAAATGGAGACTTTCATTTCACGGACTGCTTATTCTTTGGCTCACTGATGTCAGCTACAGATCCAGGTAATTGTTCAAATCGTATATTTTCTACTTAAGTATCAAACATTTAAATCAAACCTTTCTATAAAGAACGTCACCTTACACTACGTAAGAATTCCTATTCCTTATGCCTTTTTCTCACTTGTAGCAGACATATCTGCTTGTGATTACCAATAAAGGAAACAGGTGAATAGTTTCTCAAGCACTGCATCTGAAAGAAATTTAAGTTGTGGAAAAGACTTTATTTAAAAGAAAAAAAAAACTATAGTTCACTTCCCTAGAAAATGTAACTATTTTCAGCTGTATTTCTTTTTCCATACCTTTTATAAAAAAATCATTTTACTGGGGGCTCATACAATTCTTATCACAATCCATACATCCATCCATTGTGTCAAGCACATTTGTACATTTATTGCCCTCATCATTCTCAAACCACTTGCTTTCTACTTGAGCCCTTGGTATCATCAGCTCCTCATTTTTCCCCTCCCTCCCACCCTCTTCCTCATGAACC